TTGCCTAAATATAATAAGGCCACCCTCATAGCAGTGTCATTGAAGACCACAGACAAGTTGAAACTTCCATCCTCACCCAGAAGAAATGAGGAGCCCTCTCACCAATTGGGTGTTAATAGAGGTTGAGTAGTGAGGAACCCGAACTTCTTCCTACACCTGGGAGTCGCAAGATAATGACACATTTCCCCTGATGGAGCAATCTCAAAGAAAGCTAAGACAGATGATTAAAATACAATTGAAAGTTTTACAAAATAATAAAATCTAGGTTTTAATAAAAAATTGATTAACATAAAAAGAATTTGGAAGATCTTAGACTAAATAAAAAGAGACAATTAATAGAGGCTAACACTGAGAAAATGAAGTGGTTAAAGATTATAAAGCACCAATGATAAAAAAAAAGCTTCAATGAGCAACTATAAACATGCTTGAAACATGTGCAAATAGAAGATCTTAGCAGAGTAATAGTAGATATAAAGAATAAATGGTGATTTGAGATCTCAGAAATGCAATAACCAATCAACCAAATAAACAAACAAAAATGCTTAGTGGATAAATTTAACATTAGAATGAATGGGAAAGGTAAAAGAATGAGGGAAAGGAAAAACAGAATAGTAGAAATTGTTCGATATGAGCAAGAGAAAATAGACTGAAAAATAATAGATATTCCATGGAAATGGAAACAAATATTCCATGGAAATGGAAACAAAGAAAAGCAAGGATAGCTTATACTTAATAAGAGATGAACAAAGTCACTATATAATTCATATATATATATATATATATATATATCCAACATAGGAGCATCAAAATATATAAATCAAATATTAATAGACTTTAAGGGAGAAGTATACAGCATAAGTAATTTTAGAGGAATTCCATACCCCACTTTTAACAATGGATTAATGTATCTCACATCGTTGTTTCTCTCCCTCCCGTTCTAAAATCAAGTAAAAATAAATATAAAATTGATTGGAAATCTGGGTAATTATCTATACTAATAAAAGGATAATATGCTAATTAGACCAGGAAACCTTCTGAACATCCTTCTGGACAAAGCCATGGTGGCGGGACCTAGGCAGAGGCAGTTAAGGGCATTCAGGCCAGCAGGGGAGGAGAGTTGGGGGTGATCAGGCTGGGGGGGGGCGCCATGGGGCCAATGAGGCCAGCCGTGGGGGGCAGTTGGGGGCAAGCAGGCAGCAAGCAGAGTGGTTAGGGGCGATCAGGCAGGCAGGCAGATGAACGGTTAGGAGCCAGCAGTCCCAGATTGTGAGAGGGATGTCTAACTGCCGGCAGGGATTGGGCCTAAACCAGTAGTCGGATATCCCCCGAGAAATCCCAGATTGGAGAGGGTGCAGGCCAGGCTGAGGGACACCCCCTCCCCCGTGCACGAATTTTGTGCACTGGGCCACTAGTATACAATATGAATAGAATACAGTTTTTTTGTTTAAATATGTTTTTATTGATTTTTTAGAGAGAGAGGAAGGGAGAGGGAGAGAGAAATAGGGACATCAATGGTGAGAGAGAATTATGATCGGCTGCCTCCTGCATGCCCCTACTGAGGATCGAGCCCACAACCCAGGCATGTTCCCTGACCAGTAATCGAACCAATGATCTCTTGGTTCATGGGTCGATGCTCAATCACTGAGCCATACAGGCAAGGCAGAATATAGTTTTACAACTTGTTTTTTCAACTACTCTTCCTGTTAGAACACACAGTACTCTCTTCCATATGAGTTATATTACAAAAGTCCTTAGTATTTTTTTGAAATGCCTCATCATGTTTTATCCCAGGGTTAGCAATGGCCCCATTTTCATTCCAGGGTTATAATAGCAAGTGGTAGACCATAGGTATTTTGTTATTCTACCATCTATTTTGTTGAGTGTTGATAGTTCTTTGTTAAACTTTTACTATAATAATTTAATTCTTTTTATTAAATTGAAGATATTAATACTAATTATCTTTACAGTTAATTTTTTCATAATTTTACATTATGTACTTTGGATAAGTTGCTTTATAAATTTCTTTAGACTGTTTTTTGAGTATCAAATACATGAAGGTATATAGGTTCTTTGTAAACTCTAAAAGTATATATCCTTTTAAGTAATATTATTATGAAACTCCTACAGATAACATTATTTGGATGCTTGAAATGTTTTAGCCCTATTCTAAGTGCTTTACAGATATTCTCTCACACCAACCCTGTGAGGTGGTACTATTGTTATCTCTACAGATGATGAATTGGGGACAGGTAAGTTACTTACCCTAAATCACATTGCTAGGAAGTTGTAGAACTGGAATTTAAATCCAGGCCATCATTCCTCTAGTGGAGGAAATGCATTACTTACCCTTTAGAAAGAGGTAATTTCCATTTATTCTCAGATTTCAAATGGTTTATGGCATTTGTACAAATTTACTTCAGCTTTATTGTCATTTTACAAAATAATTGTCTCAGGACATCAGAAAGCTGAGTGTAGAGGTTACTTGTTCTCTGGCAGGAACACTAACCCTGCCCACAGGTGAAGAGTAGCCTATATAATCCTATATAATAAAAGGTTAATATGCAAATCAACCAATTAATCCTTCCCTGGAACAATCAGTCACTACAGTGCACAGTGACCACTAGGGGGCATACACTCAATGCAGGAGCTGCCCCCTGGTGGTCAGTGCACTCCCACAGGGAGAATGCTGCTCAGTCAGAAGCCCTGAGCCCGGCTCACACTTGGCAAGTGCAGTGGAAGTGGCGGGAACCTCTCCCGCCTCCACAACAGTGCTAAGGATGTCCAACTGCTGGCTTAGGCCCACTCCCTATGGAGAGAGGGCCTAAGCCATCAGTCGGACATCCCCCAAGGGCTCCTAGACTGCAAGAGGGTGCAGGCCATGCTGAGGAACCCCCCCACCACACACACACACACACACACACACACACACACACACAGTGCACGAATTTCATACTGGGCCTCTAGTTCTGTTTATAAAGAGAAGGAATTACTCATGCCTTGTTGAGAATCTGGACTCTGCTTTAACTGCATTGTGAACTTACTGATTCTCTGTTGGTGAGAACTGCAGCATCTGACCAGGGTCTCTTAAGACTGGCCACTTAACTTCCCTAATATATTCTTCTTGTTCACTTCTTTCTTATGCTCTCAAACTCCCTGCCCCAAGCTACTGTAGGAGAGGAAAAATAATTTTCCCTCTACTGTTCTGAGTTCTTGGCTGAGACTTCTGTAATAAAAGACAGATTAACAAGAGAAAAACAAACAGAAGTTTGTTACTGTCTACCTCATGTATACATCAGAGATACCCAGGGTAAAATGAGTAATTCCTGAAGTGGCTTCGAATAAATGCTTAAAGAATGGGGAGAAATGTCCTAACTGGTTTGGCTCAGTAGATAGAGTGTCAGTTTGCAGACTGAAGGGTCCCAGGTTTGATTCTGGTCAAGGGCATGTACCTGGGTTGCAGGCACATCCCCAATAGGGAGTGTGCAGGAGGCAACTGATTGATGTTTCTCTCTCATCGATGTTTCTAACTCTCTATCCCTCTCCCTTCCTCTCTGTAAAAAATCAATAAAATATATTTTTAAAAAAAGAATGGGAGAGAGAATGTAGGCTTCTTAGGAGAGTAAATGATTTTTAGGAACGATGAATGGCCCTTAGAAGAACAGTTAGGAGTTTGTGACAAAATTCATCTGGGTGTGGTGGTCTCTCTTAAACTCCTTTCCTTGTAATCTTCTCATTTTGTTCCCCTTAATAAGAGACCATATTTCCTGGTTGATTAAACTATTGACAAGAGGATTTATTTTGAATGCATTTTTGAAGATCTTCCTTTAGGCCAGTGATGGCGAACCTATGACACGCGTGTCAGAGGTGACACGTGAACTCATTTTTGGGGTTGATTTTTCTTTGTTAAATGTCATTTAAATATATAAAATAAATATCAAAAATATAAGTCTTTGTTTTACTATGGTTGCAGATATCAAAAAATTTCTATGTGTGACACGGCACCAGAGTTAAGTTAGGGTTTTTCAAAATGCTGACACGCCGAGCTCAAAAGGTTTGCCATCACTGCTTTAGGCAGATAAGGAAAGTTCAGAGAAATCCCCTCCCTGTTTTTGCCGTTTTTTAAGTGTCTCCCACTCAAAATAATGAATATGCCAAAGGAGCATATTTTAGATGGCATGTCTTGATCTCCTATAATCATATTATGGGGCGGCATGAAGTAGCACTTATCTGCAAGATTTTGTTGTTGTTATTCTAGCAGTACATAGCTGATTGAAGGTATAGGCAGAAAAGGTGTGTGTTTGTAACATGATGGGTTTGGTGATTTTCAGGGAAGGTGCCTTACAAACAATACAAATTTTAGTTTTTTTTAAAGCAGAATCCTTACATTCATAACGTAACCAAATTGGCTTTATTACTAAATTATTACAGTAAAATGATAAGATATAGGGAGTCTGTATTTCCAAATCTAAACAATTTGCAGGTGAGAGATCTTAGAGATAATTTCTTTAAAGTGAGAACATATCTTTCCCCAGGGGGATGTGCTCTGTTCCAATAAAAGTGTCCAACATGGTAGTTAAGCTGCAACAAAATTTTGAACTACTGTAAATTATTTTATGAATCCAACATGCCAGTTTTCTTCATGGGGATCCACAGAATACCTTTAGAGTTTCACTGAATACCTATTCATATAACTACTTTTCAGAGGTGACATACTTATGGTCAAAGTTGATATCTATGCTATCAGATTGGGAGAAGAATCTAGAGAATAGAGGAGGTTATCATCATGGATCTTGCATTTTGTTAGAGAATTGAAGTTATTTGGTGCTACTTGATTTACTGATCTAATAAAATATATGTGAAAATGTATATTATTCAACTGCTATGCCTTTAAGATACTTGTGAATGTGTTAGTAGTTTCTACCAAGAGAGTACCAAGTTTAAAGTGTCTTTTGGAAATAATTTCATGAAATATAATTATTAAACATATTTTCTTTATACAGGGATCAACCTATGAGGATGAAACTAATAACATCAACTTTGTTATTTCAAAAATAAATGAAATCATGGCTCATAATTCACCAATTTTGATTATTCAAAGATGGATACGTGGTTTCCTAGTTAGAAAAATTTTGAGGTATGTTTATTTCTCTACTATTTGAATATTAAACTAAAATGTTAAGAAAATCAATGATAAAAAGGCATCTCTCCAATGATATTCATTTTTGCATTCCTATTAAAACAGTACTTTATAGATGACTTGAACTAGTTTTAAGAAACACACCACAATAAGTAGCAATTAGAGGCAAATATAGTAATAGCTTATACTATTTGGCATAATAAAAATTTGATACTTTTCCTTTTTTAAAAAAATTGACCATATATGTATATAACTAATAAAGTTTTTATGAATTACTAATTGAGTAATTCTGACAGTATTTCTCTTAAAAAAACACGACAATCTAAAACATACTGAATTTCCTCTTTAATGGGATGAAATAGAAATATAAACCATGTTCTATATAATGGGGTACAATAGAAATATAAACCATGAAACATATATTAGGATTTAATATTTTGTTTGAATGTGAAGATAATTTTGGTGAAACATCTGCTACCATATGAATCTACATTGTCATTTGGTTAATTGTATTTTTCTTTCTCTTTGTTCCTTGCATTGTTTCCAGTAGCTGACATTTGCAAATAGAGGAACACCTTTCTTGGCAGAATCTCTGAACACTGAACTTGGGGAGACAAGATAGGGTACTCTGTCATCAATTTCTATATATCTTAGTCATACCAAACATCACATATAGGAAAAAGTAAATGAATATTTTTATATAGCTTATTTTCAGATGCTAAATGATAGAATACAGAAGATAGAAATGAAATTTGACCCTGAAATATAGGTAGGATTAAAATAGATCTAGAATTGGGCAATGACAGCCTCTGAGAAACCCAGATTAGGAAGTTTCATTGAAATGATATTCAGCATTGTGTGGTAGGCAGAGAGAATGGTCTCCTGCATTAGCCTGCATGGCTAAATCATAGAAGGCAGTAGCCCTGTTAGAGAGAGAAAAGTATGAGGATCAACTGACCATAATACGGTGCCTGCAACTTCTGAAGAAGAGGTTCCATATACTTTTCAAACTAAGGTCAAAGTGTGAGAGAAATTGGGCTCACAGTGGAAATAAGTAAAATTATATGGAATAAAAGATGTGGAAGAGGATCAGGCAGCTGCTGACAGGTGCATATTTATTTAAAATATTATTTCTGTCTCATCTTTCTTTAAATTTAGTGTGAGTTTTATATGAAATAAAGATCTAATTAAAGGGACTCATCTTTAGCTTATGCTCCTACAATTGAGTTTTTCACTCTTAGAATCAAGATTTCCTGTATATGCATGTAACATGAGATTAAAAACCTTGTGCATGGAAATGGTATCTCAAAATTTAGCATGCATGAATAGAATTTGAATAAGATTTGTGGGGAAAGATGCCTGTAATCTATATATATAAAAGGCTAATATGCTAAGTGTCCGACCATCCGACTGGTCGCTATGACCGCACTGATCACCAGGGGTGGGTGGCGGCAGGGCAGGACTGGGGACTGGCGAGCAGGTGGAAGGCAGACCTCTTGGTCCCTCCCCCCCGGCCCACAGGCTCCGATCAGTTGCCATGTGGTGAATGGGATGGGTGGTGGTGGCAGGGCAGGACTGGGGACTGGTGAGTGGGCATAAGATGGCCCAGATCGCGGGTTAGGCCTAGGTATCCTACCCGCACACAACTTTGTGCGCGCTGGGCCTCTTGTATAATATAACATGTTATATAATGGTACAGTAGCTTTGTATATTACTTTACAAAAATAACATGACTTTATTGTTACTAAATTATTTTTACTGCAATATACTTTTTCATGTTTAAAGTTTTAAATGTAATTAGCTCACTCAATCCTCACAGCAATTATGTGAGATAAATATAATTATTTCATAGATACTATAAGAGACAAATTGAGGATTAGTAAAAAAAGGTAGATGAAAAGAAGAGAAAGTATTGCATTTATATATTTAATACAAATATAATACGAAGAAAACTAAGGCATTTATTTTAGTAGTAGAATATCTCCCCAAACTCTTTATATTTATATAGTAGACCTAGTCAGTGTCAGATAGAGGTATTATAATATGCTTGCTGTAGTTTTCTGGTTGCGTGTTTATGAATAGATCATTAGTTAAAATTCCTTTCATAAAATAATTAAAGCAAGTACTTTTCTTATCCTTCCTGCATAAAAATTTGGAAAATTATAGGTTATGTTGCATCTAGAGTTTTTATCTGCAAACAATAGAAGCTAACTCTAAATGACTGAGGGAATAATGTAATTTGTTGGAGGTTTATCCTGGAAGCTCACAGAATATTCAGGAAGCCACAATAATTGAACTTGAGAAATAAGTAGCAATGAGAGGCAATGCAGAGCCAAGACTCCACCAGAGAAAGAGTTTGCTCAGGGAGCTTCCATTTACTAACTATATGACACCTTGTCATTCTGCTGTAGTTGTCCTTGGGCTTTTGGGTCATTCCTAAAACAAGTATAAATTCAGGGAGAAAGCATTAAATAGGCTGATGCTAAGTTATATGACAATGTCTTAGCTCTTAGGAAAGTGGAAAAGGAAGTATCTGTTCCCTTAAGTCAGCCATACATTGGAGATAACAATATATCAATACAGGTAACCAGAATGGCAGGGTCTTCAGGTACTATGCAGCTTCATTAAATGTACATTAAATTCATTTTGATTTGCGTAGCCATCTATATATATAAAAGCCTAAGCGACCGAATGACCAGTTGTTATGAAGCACACTCAATGCAGGAGCTTCCCCCTGGTGGTCAGTGCACTCTCACAGCTGGAGCACCACTCAGCTGACCGATGGGCACCAGATGCAGGAATCATGGCTGGCCACAGCAGCCTGGACACCACAGGGGAGGGGCAGCGAGCCTACTGAGCAGCAGCAGTGACAGTCACAGTGGGGCCAAGATGAGCAGGAGCAGCAGGCGGCATTGGACTGCCAGTTTTGGTCTGATTCCCATAGGCTATGCCGAGGGACCACACCAGTGCACAAATCCATGCACCACACCTTTAGTATTATTATAATAGGCAAGACTAATATGTTTTCTAGGATCTCTAGAATATTTTTGTAAGTTACAAATTTCTTATTTTAAATTTAATTCACAATTAAGTTTGTAAATGTATATATCAATATCCAAATATGTATATATGCACTTGTTTTCTATTCTTCTCCAAATGTCTATAAGGTAGAATGGGAGAAAAAATGTTTGTGTTTGTATATGTGTGTGTGTGTGTGTGTGTGTGTGTGTGTGTGTGTTCATGTATGTATGTTTCAGAATATGATATAGATCAAGGGTTTACAAAATTCAGCCTGTGGGCACAATTCGACGTGGCTTGTTACACAAGAAGAATGCTTTTTTATATTTTTAAAGAATTGTAAATACATAGAAGAGTATACAACACAACCAAATATATACTGCAAAAACCTAAATTATTTACTCTCTGGCTCTTTATGGAAAAAGTTTTTGATCCTGATATAGAAGGCTATGCACAACACAAGGAGAAAATTTCTATTTTAATTGAATTTTGATCCGATGAATAATTTCATTGCTGGTTTTGTTATGCATGTTACTTGTTTTTGAGTTGAATTTAAACATTGCTTGGAGCTGTTCTCAAGAAAGCAAGAAAAACTTTTTTTCCCTAATTTTTAGGTTGGTAGAAAAATGTCAATTTAATTTTCCTGAACTATAAAATTTATATGAAGGATAAAATTGCATAATCTGCCGAACCGGTTTGGCTCAGTGGATAGAGCGTCGGCCTGCGGACTTGGGGGTCCCAGGTTCGATTCCGGTCAAGGGCATGTACCTTGGTTGCGGGCACATCCCCACTGGGGGGCGTGCAGGAGGCAGCTGATCGATGTCTCTCTCTCATCGATGTTTCTGGCTCTCTATCCCTCGTCCCTTCTTCTCTGTAAAAAAGCAATAAAAATATATTTTAAAAAAATTGCATAATCCTAACTAATAATAGACAGAGTAATTGACCGTACCTTTGCTATGCCTTCCATTGGCTAATCAGCACAATATGCAAATTAACGACCAACAAAGATGGCGTTTAATTTGCATACGTAGGCTCCAAGCAGCGGAGCGAAGACTGAAGAGAGAAGGTGGCTCCGGCCGGGGCCGTGAAGATGGAAGACGGAAGGCGGCTCTGGCTGGGGCCACGAAGATGGAGGGCGGAAGGTGGCTCCAGCCAGGGCCACGAAGACAGAGGACAGAAGGCGGCTCAGGCCAGAGCAAAGGCCTGGGTCCCGGGTGCCGGAGGAAAACCATTGCCCGCAGCCAGGAGAAGGGAAGGCCTATTGCATGAATCTCTTCATGCAACAGGCCTCTAGTTATAAATAAAACTACAGAAACTCATTGTAGGTAACTTATGATATAATAACTAACTTTGAAATCTATATTATTAATTGCCCCATAATTGTTTGATATGTGGATATCCTGGAATCATGACAAATGTTTGCAAATAAGACTCCCTGTGAAAGAAAAAGATGTTGATTATAATCTAGGGAATTAGACGATAGGTTGTAACTGAGCTACCAGTTGGTTTATTAAACTTAAGGGAAACTTACTAGGGGGAAAAGAAAACAAACAAGATTTATGACCTGGAGATTATTATGATAAGCAAAATAAGTCAGTCAGAGAAAGACAAGTATTACATGTCTTACTCATATGTGGAAAAATATAAACTGATGAACAAAATAGTTCCAGAGACATAGAAACATGGAACAGACTGATGAATCTCAGAGGGAAGATGGTGGTGGGTGTGTGAGGGAGGAGTGATTAACCAAAGAACTTATATGCATATGCATAACCCAAGTACACAGACAATAGTATGGTGAAGGCCTGGGGCAGGGTGGGGAGGCTAGAAGAGGTAAATGGAAGGGAAAAAATTACTTTCAAGAATAAAGATTAAATAAATAAATAAATAAATAAATAAATAAATAAATAAATAATAAATAGATTTACTAACTTGAAGGTCCCCAAACAGGGTAAAGAATAAATAGGTCATAGCTGATTCTAAGACAAAATCTTTGAACATTAATATCTATGAATGCATTTTTTATATATACTATTAATCCTCTGCTAGTTTTTAAATGGGTGTGAATTATCAAATAATACTCAACATAGTAATGTCAAAATGTATATGATGCAGGAAATTATTAGCCTCATTTCAAATTATTCACATTAAAGACTTTATAAGAATTTTATAATGTACTTTACATGATTTCATAATATAAAAGCATTAGAGGCAACTTTTCAGTAATACATCTATTATTTGGATGGTAATTGACTGTTACATGCAGTGTATGTTTTGAGTCCTTATTTTGGAATTATGAAAAGGAATTATAATAGTCTATTATTTTTTATAGTAAATTATGTAATTTTGAATGCTGATTTTGTTCAATAGTGACTACATTATTTATATATAATAAAGATTAATTCCTACCTTATAAAATAGGTATATCAAAAATAGAAGTAGCGCACATTTTTTTCAAAGTAAATCCTATTATAAATGATAAATTTAGAGCAACATTCCTGTGAAAATATTTGAGTAAGGTGAATTTGCCAGATATAAATGATTTAAAATAAAATCTATCTTTGCATATGGTTTGGATCGTTAATCATAATCTGTAAAGACAAGGTACAGATTCAATCCAGGGTTATCTAAAATTTGCAGCTTTAAAATTAACATAGTTTAATACTTTCTTGGAACATAGATGTGCTTTCCTCTACTATTTACTAAACAAAAATATTTTGTTAAAATACTATTAAATGACTGAAAATATTTTATGATTGTGTAAGCAACTTAATAATCTTACCTAATAATAGACAAACATGCAAATTGACCATCCCTCCACTACGCTCATCAGCCAATCTGATGAGTATGCAAATTAAACCAACAAAGATAGCATTTAATTTGCATACGTAGGCACCCAGTGGCCTGGGTCCCGGGAATATCATCGGCACCCAGGTCACTCCGAGGTAGGCCCTGTGTGGGCCTTGAGCAGTCTAGGAAGGGCCTGAGCCAGGGGGCTCCTGGACAGGGCCAAGCCTGCGATCAGAGCCAAGGGGCCCCCTTCCCTGACCTAACACCTTGGCCAGAGGCATTAGGCCTGGGCAGGGGCAGAGCTGGCGATTGCAGGGAGCTGGGCAGGGGCTGAGGTGGCGATCAGTGTGAACTACAGAGGACACACCTCTCTAACTGCTCATTGGGTAAGCTCCCTGTATGCCACTGGTAATATTCTTAGTAACTTGGGTAATAAGAATCCAAGAAGGTGATGTAGGGTTTTACTACCTCACTCCTGGAGAAAAAAAGGAAGGTCCTCTGCTGGAAGGCTAAGAAATGTCATATTCTGCCCTAGCTGGTTTGGCTCAGTGGATAGAGCCTTGGCCTGCCCATTGCAGGGTCTGGGTTCAATTCTGACTAAGGGCATGTACCTAGGTTGCAGGCTCCTCCCTGGCCTGGGCCTAGGTCAGGGCTCATTCAGGAGGCAACCAATCAAAGTGTTCCTCTCACGTTGATGTTTCTCTCTGTCTTTTCCTCTCTCTTCCACATTCTCTAAAAATCAATGGAAACATATCCTCAGGTGAGGATAAAGAAAAAAAGAAAGAAATGTCATATCCTATGAAAGACACATCTTGAAAATGCCTAAAGAAAGTTGTCATTTTTTCATGGTGAAGGGACTGGAGTCTGTGTTGATGAAAACACCTTGGTGGCTGCGGTGACTGGCACTGGCTGCAGCAGCGGGGTAATGGGGCTGGTGCCTTCCCTGATCAGCCCAGTCACCTCCCATAAAGGGAGGCCAGACTGCAGCTTAGGCCCACTCTCCAAGGGGAGCAGGGAGCAGGCCTAAGCCGTCAGTAGGACATCCCCTGAGGAATCCCAGTATGTGAGAGGGAGCAGGCTGGGCTGAGGGACCACTCCCCCCAGTGCACAAATTTCGTGCACCGTGCTCCTAGTTTAACATAAATAAAATAAATTGTATCTGGTCTTATATCTTTCTGAGTTTAGTAATGCCTCTACTTAAGTTTTCAGAATTAGACTGAATCATTTATTTTTTTTAAGTTTACACAGAATACTTTTAATTTTACTAACACTTTACAAAATGTTTTGATTTTTTTTTGAAACTCAGAATAAAAAATAGACTTAGATCTTAGTCTTTCTGGAAACTAGTTTTCCATTTTTGAAGTGGTATGAGAAGCAGAATATTTTTATGATTGTTTTCTTTCAAAATGAGTGAGCTTCTACATGGATACACAAGCAAGCTTTATTACCATCTTCTTGTCCTCATTAGATTCATTAGCAAACTAATGGCATACAGAGGTGAATAGACTCATTCTAACCTTGTGTGGTTCTTCCTGCACTTGGGGCAGAGCAGTACATCCATAAACAAAATTCAGGAAATGTAATAATAGTCTTGTTGCCTGGGTACCTTGCCCTGATGATTCAAGCTATCATAGCAGGATCACTCCTGTCTGCCTTCTCTTTCAGATGAGGACAGTTCTGACTCTCTTAAGCCTTTGTTGCCATTCCAGAAACAAGTCTCCTTTAGAAATATATAGTTCAAAACAAATCACATGCAACACATAGCACTTAAATGTAAGCTACTCTTAACAGCAACCTTTGTATCTGTGACCTATGCATTTTGACTACCTACTTCAGAAGACAGTTTATTAAACAAAATCAGAAAGTCTCATTATAATGAATCCTTTTCTTGGAGTAGACTGGATGTAGACGTAATTAACTTTGCTTATGAAATGTCAGAGAATACTTTTAGGAGATCATGCTGGAACTGAAGCTTTAATAATTGGATCTGATTATCGCATTTAATAGAATAACTAAGAACTAGTCATTTTTCTTTTGCTCTTTTCAAAATTTCCTTTCTTTGTTTTTGGATTTTAATAGTTTTACTATGAGGTGTCTGAATGTGGATCTTTGCACTTATTCATTTTATAATTTGTTGAGCCCTTAGATTTATAGATTAATGTTTTCTTTAGATTCCAGACAGTTTTAGACATTAGTTCTAATATATATTTTTATTTTCTTCTCTCTTCTTTTATTATTCCTATGTTGGTGGACCTAATGATACTGCAAATTTCTTTGTGGGTCTAGTCACTTGTCTTCAATATTTTTTCTCTCTGCCAGCATAATTTTTACCAATGTTTTCAAGATTTCTGATTTTTTTCTACCAATTAAAATATGCTGTTGAACTAGTTGAGCAAACATTTTCAGTTATTATACTTTTTAATCTCAGAATTTTCATTTGGTTCTTTTTTAGCAATTTCTGTGTCTTTATTGATAATCTGTATTTGAGAAGATATCATTGTTATACCTCTCTACTTAAGGTTTATTTCCTTTAAGCATATTTTTAATAGCTGCTTTGAAGCCTTTATCTGTTTTGTCTGTCATCTGTTCCCTTTCAAAAGCAGTTCCAAAGGCCTGCTCTTTTTATCTGTCTAGTTTACACTTTTGTCTTTCTTTGCCTGTCATAGTTTTTTTGTTGAAAACTGGACATTTTAGATAGTATATTGCAACAACTCTGGATACTGATCTCTTTACCCAGGACTCGTTTTTGCTTGTTAATTTATTTAATGACTAGGTGGACTATTTTAGTGACGTCTATTTCCCCCTCACTGAGCAGCCTGTGATACTGCTCCTTAGCGTACACACCCTTGGCTGGGCGCAGTCGCCCTTGGGGTGATAGTGGTTGTAGCAGGGCTCTCTTTGACTATCTCTTTCTCTGATTTCTCTGTTAAGCAGTTTGAAACCTTCGATATCACAACTGTTATTAGCCTCCACTAATTGCCAGCTGATTTCTCTATGGTTTTCAACAATATTTTGAGAAATTTCTCCATAGCCTGACCCTTTAAAAAAAGTAACTTGAAAAATATCTTAGAAAATCTAATCTAGGCAAGAGTAGCTAAGAGGTCTTGGGCTTTCCTCCTCTTCTCAGCCCTCACTTGTAGGGCGGAAGCTCTCACCCAGCTGCAACAGGTAGAAAATAGTAGAATTCTGATCACCAGTGTTCTCAGCAAGTAGAGAGCAAGTATAATCATATTATACATAGTTAAGAGAACTGTAAACCATCTTGAAGTTGACCAAAGAGAACCAGGAGAAAAGACAGCTAAGAAGAGCTCTTCTGGGATCAGAGAAAAACTTTTGCGAAAGGCTGAAAGTTTTATAACATTCAAAAACTTCACTACTAAGTGTGATATTAGTTTGTTTAATCCATTTATCAGGTAATATTTCAAATGTATTGGGTTACATAAAACATAATATTAAAGTTAGCTTCACTTATTTCTTTCAACCTTTTTTAAGTGGGACTTATAGAAAATTTAAAATTATTTTGTGGCTTACATTATATTCTGTTGAACACAACTACTCTACAGTAATTTCCCTAGATGGAAATAAAAATAACTTCTTCACTGGAAAGGAAAAATAAAGATAGGTTACCTTATATTTTTCTAGATAATGTAGTCATGTTCTTTCTGCCATACTATATAATAGAGCTAATATGCTAATTAGACTGGACAGTGGAACGACCTTCTGGAGGACCTTTCAGAATGATCAGTGGGTGGGGGGTGAGGCTGCAAGGCAGCAGGGGCTGTGAGGGCTGAGGCAGCCATGGCTGCGAGGGCCTGCTCTTGCACGAATTTCGTGCATCGGGCCTCTAGTTATATTATAAAATGCAGAGTCAGATATAAGTATAGAATTGCTTGTGGATTCAAATCACCACAGATTTCTCATCACTCATTTATCACATGATGAATATTGATGGACAAACTTTAGTGCCTAAGTAGTATAATGTATTATTAAAATAAATATTACATTAAATTTAACACCATGTTTTCTAAGATGTATTTTCCTTCTCTTTTTTTTTGGGTCAAAATACTAAATGACTACTTTCCCCCTTTATTACTCAGCCAATATTTTTCATATAAAAAACCTCAAGAAAAATTTATTAGTGAATGTAAAACAAAATGGGCTTACAAACACAAAAAATATGAAGATATGATTTTTAAGGATCTCATTATTAAGCCTGAAACAAATATAACAGGAAAGCTTGCACGAAAGAAACATGTAAGTCGAATTAATTACTTTTTTAAAAAATATTTTTATTTAAGATACTATAATTATAATTTTTGTAGCATTTTAAGGAAAAATATATTGTATCATAATGTTAATATTCTACTTGTGATTTTCTTGATGTGAAAAAAGTCATATAATAATGTAGTATAAATATAATTTTGTGATATATTAATTACTCTTATCACGACCATTTTATAATTTATGCTTTATGTATGTATATATATTTTTTCTCTTGTGAATTATAAGTAGATATTAATAGTAGTATAAAATTACTTTTTAGTAGTTTAAAACATTTATATTTAGTTTATTAAAGGCTGATAAGTCCACATATGGCATAATATTAATTCACTACATGATGCTAAATTATGTACTGCTTTGAGGACACAGTGGAAATAAAAAGAAACATATTTATTGAGTGCCTGCTGTGTACCCGGCACTGCACTAGATATTTTGCATGTAATATGTAATTTATTTTCCACAACACTGTAAGTTAGGTATTTTTATCTCATTTTTATAAACAGGAAAACTAAGTCAGAGGAGTTAGTTAATTTACCAAGCTACACAGTTAAGTAACATTGCTGGGACTTATCTTCAGGTCTTCTGACACCAGAGTTTATGCTTTTTGTTTTGACTTGGACATTAGGTAATGGTAGAAATGAAGACGATATTGTAGTATAATTAACAAAAATGAACTTTTTATTATTTGTAAAGCACTGTGTTTATGATAAACGTTTTTATATGTGGACTTTTCCTGAGTAGCCTGAGCTACAAATATTTCTATTATACTAACATTATTAGGAGGGTCTACAAAAAGGTCCAGACTGCCATTAGTTTGATTGCAATGTAATTGAGGACATGTGTTCTAAATATAGCACAGAGATATCCTCAAGCCCTTAAATCTCACAAATTATTCATTGAATAGAAACATAGTTTTAAAAGGCAAAAGCATCCTACTCAAAACTTTTTCCTCATGAGCATTCAGTGCCAACTATATTAATTTACTCCAGATGATAATATGCTTTATTAAACTATAAAGTTCATGTTAAATGTCTTTTGGGCCTGTATGTAAATATAAATTTACTGATTTTAGGCATGACACTTGCTTTTTATATGCTTTAAACAGAGGAGTCTTTTACTGAATAATGTAACCAATTTGGATATGCTGATAACCAATTTGGATAGATAGATAGATAGATAGATAGATAGATAGATAGATAAATAGATAGATACTAGAGGCCCAATGCATGAAGATTCATGCAAGAATAGGCCTTCCTTCCCCTGGCTGCCGGCACTGGCTTTCCTCCAGCACCCAGGACCCGGGCTGCTTTGCTCTGGCTGCTGCCAGGCACCTGAGACCTGGGCTGCTTTGCTTCAGCTGCCACCGCCAAGCCGCACCATGGCCACTTGGAGCACACTCCCTCCCCTGGTGTGTGTCCACTGGGGCTGGGGGAGGCACGCTGGGGGCGGCACGCAATCCCCTCCTGCCCATCTGCGCATGCAGCTTCTCCTGAGCCATCCTGATACAGCCTCCTCCTGAGCTGGTCATGACCATTATGGTGTCCTTGCCTAATTTGCATATTACCTCTTTATATATAGACTAGAGGCCCGGTGCACAAAAATTTGTGCACTGGGGGGGGGGGGTCCCCCAGCCCGGCCTGTGCCCTCTTGCAGTCTGGGACCCCTCGGGAGATAACGACCTGCTGGCTTAGGCCTGCTCCCGGGTGGCAGAGGGCACGTCCAATCCCTAGGTGCAGCCCTGTGTGTGTGTGTGTGGCGTATGGTGTGTGTGTTTCCGCCCGGGGGGCCTGCCCCCCAGCCCACACCATGGAGGCTTGGAGCAGAAGCCCACTCTGTGTTTGATCTCTCAGGGCTCCTGGCCTCCCACTGCATGTTGTACTCTCCATTGACCTATGGCCAGGATGGGGGTGCTGCTTGCAAGCCGGGCTTTCCTGCTCCAGGATCGCCATGGCAACGGGGGAGCAGGTCCAGCTGGGGGCTGTCCACAGGCCGGGCTTTCCCGCTTCCAGGTCTCCATGGCAACTGGGAGCAGGCCCAGCTGGAGCTGCCCGCAGGCCGGGCTTTCCTGCTCCTGGATTAGGCCCAGCTTGGGGCTGCCCTCAGGCTGGGCTTTCCTGCTCCCTGATGAGGCACAGCTGGGGGCTGCCTACAGGCCGCACTTTTCTGCTTACTGATGGCCAGATCACCACAGTGACCCAGGGCCCAGCGGCACTTTCCTGCTCTCCAATAGTCATAGGGTCCCAGCTGGGGGCGGGGCTTAGCAGTGCGGGGCTTAGGTGGCACAGGGGTCCCAGCTGGGGTCTCAGGTGGCACATAGGGCTCCCAGCTGGGGGCAGGGCTTATGCCCCACTGCCCAGTGCTGCACATGGGGCCCGGATGGCAGCTCGCGCTGTCCCGCCCTGCCTGTAGTATAGGATATAGGCTTGGTGCACGGGTGGGGGCCAGCTGGTTTGCCCTGAAGCGTGTTCCGGATCAGGGTGCGGGTCTTGCTTGGGTGCCTGGCCAGCCTGGATGACAGGCTGATGGCTGTTTTTAGGTTTCCCGCACCGCCTTTAGGGTGGGGGTCCCCACTGGGGTGCCTGGCCAGCCTGGGTGAGGGGCTGAGGGCCGTTTTCAGGCTGGCGGGTGACTGAAGCTCCCAGCCTCTCCTATTTTTCTTTTTTCTTTTTTTTTTTATTCTGGGATTTATTTACTTTCTTTAGCTGTCACTGGAGTTGAGTGCCCGCTTTAGCTCTGAGGCCGGCTCCAGCTTGAGGCCTCGGCTGCTGAAAGCAGATATCTGGGCTTTGTTTAGCTTCTATAATTGAAACTCTGTTTCCATCATTGCCACTCTAAGCTCTGAGCCCGCTGCCGGCTGAAAGCAGGTTTCTGGAGCTTGTTTAGCTTCTATAATTGCAACATTGTTGCATCCGGAGCTCAGAGCTGGGTGGCGGCAGGTGGGGAACCTTGGCTTCCTCCATCACTGGAGCAAGCAAGCCTCCTGTTCGCTTCAGCTGCCTGGCTGCCGGCAGCCATCTTGGTTGGCAGTTAATTTGCATATCCTGCTGATTAGCCAATGGGAAGGGTTTGGGGGTATGGTCAATTTGCATGTTTCTCTTTTATTAGATAGGATATATTAGTGTGTATATATGTGTATGTATGTATATATGTATACATGCATACATACACACACATATATATATATTTAGAAATACTCATATACAGAGATATATATATATATCCATATACACATATCCATAATTTATATATCCATATACATAGATCTAGGTTATATTATGGCAAGTGACTATTATGGGCATCAATAGTAAAATATTCATATTACAAAGGTTATTTTATATAATATCTATGTAGTTATATAGAATATATCATTAGATATCGGGATTTAGAAGTGTTTTGAATGTTATGAATATTAATTGCTTTGAGAAATTTCTGAAGTTCATTGGTATTATTGATGCTAACCACATCATTATTAATGTCATTTTTATTAACAACTATTTATTTATATTTTATAAATATATACATTGTTCTATGCTTTTTCATTGTGTGTAGCTATCATTCATAGAACATTATAGAAGTTATCTTCAGCTCAATTTCTTAAAGTAATTGAAATGAATTTTAATTACAAGATTCATCTCTGAATATTTTGTATAAAATTGTTGTTCCATCTTCTGCTGGATTTATTTGTACTCTCCTCTTTAGCTCACTTAGTTATTCTTTAACTGATTTTACTGCTCATATATCTAGTCTTTAGTTACTTGGAGCTTGGTTTATTAAAAACTATAGTGAGACAATTGATACCCTATAGTGCTTAAGAGAACCTAGGATCCAAGAACATTGAGTTAGGGAGTAGGTAAAAGGGAGGAGGTAAGAAAGTATTGCCATTTAACATTAGGAGTTCATTTTACAAAAAGATGGCCTTATCTAAGTAATGAAAAAGGATTAGTCAAGAACTGAATTCAAGTTTTAGTATTTAGTAAAAGTGATCAATGGCTGAATCTGCTTCTATTTTGGGATGAAGGGTTGTGTCTAAAGGGTTTACAACTTCATATATATATATCCCTAATATGCAAATAGACTGAACTGCAGAACTGAACAACCGGTCGCTATGACGTGCGCTGACCACCAGGGGGCGCATGTGGAACATGGTGGGCGTTGGCAGCAGGCAGCAAAGTGTGGAACATGGTGGGCATCGGCCACAGCGGGATGGTGGAGCAGGTGAGCGGAGGCGCCAAACCAAGGTGGGGCGCCAGTTGCTGTCATGGGAAGAGCCTTTGATGGATACTGAAAATTCTTTGCTTCTGCGTGCCATGGTCCCACCAGGCGCTTGCACCTGCTGCCGGCGCCGGCCCCACTTGCACCCGCTGCCAGCACCAGAGCCGCCACTCGCAACCATTGCTAGTGCCTGGCGCTGGCCTCAATTGCCCCTCAGGGCTTCTTCACCTCCCCCTGCTCCTGAGGGGGAATTGGGGCCGGCAGCCATCACTCAGACCCGCTGCCAGTGATGGCCTTGATCACACCCACTGCTGGTGCCAGAGTCGCCGCTCACACCCACTGCCAGCGCCCAGCGCCAGTTCTAATCGGCACCCTCAGCGGGTGCTAGTTGTGGCTATCAGCCTTGATAGCCCCAGAGGTCTTCTCCACCTCTCCCTGCTCCTGAGGGGTGATCGGGGCAGCAGCCGCCTCTCGCACCCACTGATGGTGCCAGCCCCAATTGCTCCACACCTTCAGTGGGTGTGAGCAGGGCCAGCACCATCAGCATGTGGGAGCAGCGGTGGCAGGAGCAGGGCTGCCAGCAGATAGGGGACTAGGGGACGTGGCAGGAGGGGCTGGGTCGGGGCACAGAAGAAGGCCGAGACCTGCCTGTGCCCACCGCAGCCTCGCAGCCCACAGTTCCTTTCAGGGTGCATGAATTCGTGCACTGGGCCCTTAGTATTCATGGAAAGAGCCAGAGGAGTGAGTTCAAGTTGCATTCA